ACTTTGGGGTCAAGGATTGTGGAATTGAAGTATGGGGCAAAGAGTGACATGGAAAACGAAGAACAATTACCTTTTTTCCCACTAATGTTTTCTCCTTTGATCAAATAAAACACTAGAAGAAAAGTGCAAGAATTACATGCTTTCAACAGGTGCACGTGCAGCATTACCAAATTTGGTGATTCTATTTGAGCAATGAATTTTGTATGACATATACTTGTGTACGTAGGATACTTTTACCTGTTAGAAGTAAATTTATGCAAAAACCGCTCTATAAGAGTATTCACAAATGTGGATCTAGAAAAATAAATTTGGGGGGACAATTTATTTTTTTTATAATGACATATACTCAACAACAAAATGTCAAAAACATAAAGTTAAAATTTTAGAATAAAAAAAATGTTGTAATAAAAAAATACACACCTTCAAACTTCGTTTTTACTTGAACTGTGCTCGAAGTTCTTTCAAGTCACGAAACTCATCAAAAATTGACTCGGTACTAATATAGATCTTGCAATTTCTCTTTCGATGAAGATAACAAACAATTTATAAGAAAGTCATCTTCCATTTTACTTCAAAGTCTGGATTTAACAATAACCATAGTCGAGAATCCACGCTATGTTGTCGCCGTAGACACGTGAAGAGTGAGAATGAGCCTAATTAATCTATCAATCAACGGGTAAACCAAAGACTTTCTACTTGTTGCCATCCATTGACACAGATCAGAGATAGTACACAAAGTTTGAAATTCTGAATGCTGGAGAACATGCATCAATCTCATAATGTTTCAATTGAGCTTTTAGTAAATCTTGTTCATAATCCGTGAAGTCCCTAGGATAGAATTCACTGACAAGGAGGCAAGCATCATCTATATTAAAAGACAATAGAGAATTGCGAGGGTCGAACATAGAGCTAAGAACAAGTAGCTTCACGGCATTCTCACTAAACCTGTTGTTTAGCTCTTGCAATTGACAATCTAATGTAACCGTAAAAATATTAATACGGTGATGATCCCGACTGTAAATAGATTTTGTTTGTTCCGAGATCGTCCTCCTCTTTCCACATATAAAGCATTAATATCAGGCATATCTATTGCACGCTTTTCACAAAAAGACTTTACCTTGGAAAAGAGACTGTTATATCCATCATATCTCATTTTTTGGATAAGACTCTTCGTCGTCCCCACAAGATGCATAGCATACAGAATATCTTGAGATTTTTGTTGTAGAGCTTGACAAAGTATATCAGTTATTTTCATGATTTCATTCATAAAATGTAAGATGAAGATGAACTCGAATGAAGTTAAAAAAGTGTAAGGTGAGTCAGCATCAGCTCGCTAATCACAATTTCCCTCATCACTGATGCATAACAAAATCGAGCAAGCGGCACTAAACATCTTTAACAAGCTGAAAATTGACCTTAAGTGTGTGGCCCCCAACGCATATCCCCTGTTTGTTGTAAACTCCCGATTTGATTTTGTCCAGTCCTTTTTTCAAACTCATCAATAGAAATCAAGTAAGTAATATCATAAGCTTGAGCCGCTTTCAATTCATCGATGCGTTTACATGAAGAACCCACCACATTTATAATGAGATTTAATTTTGAAAAAAGTGGTGGATGGGAATAACTTCTCGAGATGTGCCAACTAACGCCAATCGCAAGCGATGAGCTAAACAATGCACATAATATGCAAATGGACATTCTTTAGAAATTAATGCTTGTAGCCTGTAGAATTCATCCCTCATATTACTCGCCCCATCATATCCTTGACTCCGAACAAGATTGTGACGAGAAAGAGTAGAAAATATTGCATCTTTTAAAGTTACCGCCTTCGTATCAGACACATGTACGAGATCATAGAAGCGAACAAAACCATTAATATCAAAATATCTCAAAACGATACTCATTTGCTTCCTTTTTTATTCATCTTTGGCCTCTGTTCGCAAAATATTTTCACTATCCGCAAGTGTACGGTATAGCTGTAGTGAGTGGCGAGCAAGGTCGTATTCCACAGAGATTGTTTTCAAAATAACTAAGTATCAAAATGTAAACAGTTAAATATTATTCAGTCTAATGCAAATTTATATGGTGATTTTATTCTAAACTAATGAATGATTGCAAAATAAATTCTAACACTAATGAAGGCTTGTTCTAAGATAAATCAAGAATGAGAAAATAGATTCTAGACTATGCTTTCCTCGGGATTATTCTAACAAAGATTTCTTATGCATTCAAACCTTATTTAATTCTATCGTTCGTTGGGATAATCATTAAAGTAATTTACACCTTTCTCTCGAACAAGTTAAATCGTAGATATTAATAGTTATCTATCTCCTCTCGGTCTCAAGATGAACAATCAACTCCCATAAGCTCCTAAGATTCTAGTTCTCTCGCACGATTCTATCAACCTCTCGGTTTGTTTAGTCTCTTACGTTATGAATTTCCCAATTCTAGCAATCAACTATCTCCTCTCGGTCTCAAGTCAATCACAAATATGCATAAATACGGGCCCTATATTCACACAATTAATAAAAGCACAAGAAATTGATAAACGAAGGATAAACCGGAATGAATAAACAAAATCACTTCATAAAATAATCCGAGTACTCGCAAATCCTAGAATCCCTAAAAGGTTTAGCTACTAAACATATTCTCAAAACTCAAAATAAATAAATCTATGAGTTCAATGAAGAAGAAAAAGAGAAAAGAAAGAAGAACTATTGTCGCCGTTAGTTCCCGAATCTTCAATCCTGACTTCCTCGAATCCCTCGTGTGTTTCGTGCTTTCTCTAGGCCTTCAATGGTGTCAAAAGTCGCAAAAACGAGTTCCTAAGGCCTCTTTTATACTGTAGGGCACTTCTGGGTCGAAAAAGGGAAGAAATCGCACAAGAATCCTATTCCCCGCAGGTCTGGTCTGCGCGTCACACGAGTCGTGTCACATGCCACACGAGTCGTGTGACTTTTCTCAACATTTCGGCGAACTTCCAGACTCACACGACTGGTCACACGACTGGGTCACAAGAGTCGTGTGAGGTCACACGACCCGTGTCACAAGACACACGACCCGTGTGAAAAAGCCGTAGCTGCATCTCTTATTCTCTCAACCCACACGACCCGTGTCACTACCACACGAGTCGTGTGACCTCTTCTGCACCCGTTTTCGCCGTTTTTCGTCCCGATTCCATTTCCAACGCATTTCCGGGCATATTTCCTGCAAAACTAACGACAAAAACACCTCTATCATAGATTAATAAATAAAACAAAATGGTGCACAATCACACGATAACCATGGCCAAATATCACAATATATCACTCATAATGCATGAAAATATGATGAATGTCAGCCTCATCAACAATAATGCAAAACTTTGCACTCCCAATTTTCTCACAAGTCACTTTCTTGATCCTTATTGAGATAACAATTAAAATATCCTTATGAACATACGGGGATGTATACGAGGCATTTTGAGGTGTTTTGTCTAACATAACATTTGCAATAGTTTCATTAAGTTTAGCCATCGCACTCAAAAATTCAATAAAATTACCACAGTTAAGACTTAAGGGACTCTCCACTCTCATCATGACCTCTGAAAGCCAAACCCTGACTCGCAAGATGCCGGACTGAAATAATTGAGGCTTCGAGTCGTAATCTATTTTTTGCAATTTGTTCAGAACTTTGTTTTTCAATAAAACTCCGAACATGGTGTGCTTGATTCATTAAGTCTTCACATGATTTCTCGACAAATTTTGTGCAATGAATTATGATCTTTTCCAATGTGATTAAAAAATGCACAGTCTTTACCATTCCATACCTTTTTCCAGTTTCTGAAGCCATCAACAATACAAGTATTCTGGCTCTGATGCTTATCTGGTTTGTTGAACAAATAACAAGGTAAACAAAATGCAGCATCATTCGTAGGAGAGTATTCTAACCAAGACGGAAATATCTTAAACCACGATGCTTGAAAACGACGAGAATGTTTTTTAGACCCACTCGATAGATATTCTCCAATGTATTGAAAAGGATCATAGTTAATATAAGTCCGTCGAACTTCATCAATTTTATCAACGGGATAATTTGATATTGGCATACGTAACCCTGGGTCACGTTCAAGCTTGTTTGATATCAAATACCACCGGGTTGATTCTAAGTGATTTTTGAATCTGGTTATCAACTTTTTCAACAGTTGGTGGTCCTCCTTTATCTTCCTCAACCCTATCATGTTTTTTTTTAAAGGAATCAATTCTTGATGACCTCCTCATATCCTGAAAATAAAATAAAAATAATGAATATTAATATTAAAGGGCCTAAAATATGTTTCTTAAAACAACAATAAAAGTAGGCAAAAATTACAAAATACAAATGTTCATTTTTCCTCCATAGATACACACATAACTAAATCTTTTTACTCTGTTATTTTTTAGGTATCAAATATCAATTATTTCATAAAGAAGAAAAGAAAGGGCAATAAAATTGCATGTTCAGCCACCTAAGAATGGCAAACTCAACACATTTTTATTTAAAAAAAAAATATATGAAAAGATAAGAGAAGCACACAAACATGCCCATAAATAAAAACCTACATCAGATTTTCACAGATTGCCACAAGGCCCAAAATACTTCCCAATTTCTCTATTTGAACCGCTGTATACAATTTGGGATCACTCCAAAAAAATTTACTATCTAACCGCCATTTAATTGCCTTTCAATACATATATAAATTTTTCAAATGAGGCTCAAGCAGAAGGAAACCTCATTGAAGGGTCATACATTCAGCTTGATTAAACTCATTCAACTTGATTAAACTCTAAATGGCTCAAAGAAACAAATAGATAATATCATAATTCATGTGTTGCCATATACTGATTGTCAGTATATGAATTGGGATTGACCTGAAAAAAGTGAAAAAATGAAATAAAAGTTTTGTATGAAGAACAAACAGTGTTATATTTTTAATATTTCAATGTTATACTTGAATACTGAAGAACCAACAATGAACAACAAACAATCTTAAATTTTAATATTAACCCTTATATCTCACTCACACAGA